TATATATATATATATATATATATTTCCGGTTTTACAATGTTTATACATTTTTCCGGTACCCAAGGTTAAGTAGAAATTAATCACTTTTACTTTATCCTTACTAGGTAAATTACGAAATGGAAAATTTTTTTGAAGTATTTCTGCCTTCTGCACAGAGGATTGCACGTGATGAAAATTGTGAAATCTATCACGTTCCTGTCTTTACAAAATTGCATCCGAATAAACGTTTTTAGTGTTAAGTAGCACACAAGCAAGTTAAAATTAAATTTAAATATTCAAAATATATTACTTACTATTGCCATTCATTGTGTACGATAGTAAAAACTATAATCTCTCTCTCTTCCTGGCGTTACAGTTCAAAGTTGAAGCTATAATAACACACCATAAACATCACACAAACAAACAGAAATACGTTTCCATAGAAACTCAGCTACAATGCTTCCAAAGAAGAGTTATTTATTCCATGGCCAAGTATGTTTATTTTACTCTGTAACAATCAAAGTTTCACCTCACCTAAATTCGGTATAATCTTTGATGTAGCAGAGAAAAAGAAATCAATTTGACTTTGGCTGTGTTAATGAGCTCATAAAAATGTATTTGTGTCCCGCATTTCGGTGTCGTTGTAGTGGAAAATTCTCTCTACCAAGGAGGATAACATTGACACAAATTTAGAGAAAATTAAGTAGGCCTATGGTTGTTGAAGTAGAAGTAACGGGAAGCTGGAGGAAACTGCATAATGAACAGATTAACGTTTTGGTTTTTATATTATAATTGCTGTGATGTGGGTATATCTTGTAGCACGCAGTTTCCCTCATATAAACAGCATGTTTTAAGCCCACTTCGAACTGATACCTCAATTAAGTGTTGCAAATTTAATGAAAGTGTGTCTGTGTCTGCATTACATTCTGCTACACTAAGACTACTAATCCTATTAGCACTTATGCAAACATGCATCTAATTATTCATCTATGCTAAATCAAAAACACTTTTTGTGTGTGGCCAGAAGGAAACAAACCATTCATGTTATTGACTAGCATTGGAAAGAGGTTGTTTCACCCCTACCTAGTTAAATTAATGTGTATTATTTGGAAGTATATGAATATTATATTTCAGCACTTTTCTAAATTTAGAATTTGAGGTTATGTAGGTACAATGCTCTGCCTATTTCACTGCCAGGGACATAGCGGGAACAAGTGATAATATCTAATTTTGTGATTCATTTCAATGCATAATTTTCATTAGTAATGATTATTACCAAATTAAAACTTGGCAGATACAACCTTGAATCTTTGACATCATCATGATTTATGTTACCGTGTGATTTTATAATCTGGAAAGGATATGCTCATTGACATTCAGTTAAAATATTTCTGTCTTCTATGTCGGGAAATGGAGAGTCTCAACGCAAAACATAGCCGTCACATTCTAGTAGCAACAGCTAGCCTAGGTGAAATCCAAGTTAAGTGTAACTCGCTCTAGAATCTGAAGGTTTAATGTGGCTTGCAGAAAACCCTCTCTTGAACATGGATTCGTGGTGGAAAAAATAAGCTATCGCCAATTGGAAGACGAAACTTGGATTGGAGCACAAGTTTCTAATGTTTTCTTTGAAAATTTACAGCATTTCCATTGAAATTAATCTTATCTCAGCTTCACGTAACACGGTAAGTCGTGCCATCTGCGTCAACTCGTGTTCCTGTCTTATCACTATCATAAGATAGCAGTCTGTTAGCAATATAAAATATAACAATTAATTGCGACACAAGTCAGTGGCTGTAATGTTGCTCTGGGCATCATTGTTCGTGGCCTTAATTTCAATTATTATATTCTATAGACAGCCGGATTCGCCATCTGTACGCGGCTTTTATAAACAACCGGGAAAATGGTTCCCTCTCAAGTACGTTATCTTTCTCATCATGTTACAACTCAGAAGGGTAAGTAACCATAAATGCTACTATTTTCATTCTGCACGGAATCCAAAGTAGATATATACATTTTACTAAGTTATATACGCACTTGACCGCCACGGTGGTCTAGCGGTTAGAACGCTGGCCTTGTAATCCTGGGGTCTCGGGTTCGATTCCCGGCGGTGCCCGAATTTATAACTTATGTTGGGCAAGGCCGTGGTCTAGGAAGCACGGAGTTTTCCTCCGTGGCATCCCAACAATTACTCCATTCACACACAGAAGAAGGCAATGGCAAACCACTTCTGGATCATCTGCCAAGAACGTATATGAACAGGTCCCAGTCCGAGAAAAGGATAGAAGGATCCTGTTCATATGGACCTGTCATCAGACAGAACACTAAATAAAATATAAACACAGAAGAAGGCAATGGCAAACCACTTCTGGATCATCTGCCAAGAACGTTTATGAACAGGTCCCAGTCCGAGAAATAATCCTACTCTCCTACCCAATGGGAATGGAGGGCCCGGTAGTAATACGGCCGAAGCTTGAAGCTGAAAACTCACCTCCATCTGGTGGCGGGATTAAGAAAACACGAAGCTGTACCTCTATTCCATATACATCTTCAAACGTAGTGCGTAGGGATAACGATATCTTTAATAAATTGGATTCTTCAAAAATTCTCAAAGTGTGTTATTCGTATCTTCATTTGAACACGCGATGGATAAAATTTACCGTTAAATATTTAATGTTTCGAATGTTTATCTTCTTCCTTCTTTAAAAACCGTTGTGGGAGGCTTTAATCGCCAGAGTGAATTTTATCACTGTTAGTCGCCACGAAATCTTCAAGTCGCATATAAAAATGTGTATTAATACTTCATAACATCAAAGTATAATAAGGCATCCTACATGCTTGTAACAATCTGCTTTAGATTCCCGTCCTGGTTTCTGGGTTATGACACCATTCAGACTTTTAGTAGGTTGCCAGTGTCTTGGAGGAACATACTGTATCGATCGTCAGCGCTGAAGATGGAGTATGTTCCTCTGACCATGGTCTTATTCACCACAGTAAGAACATCAAATATATTTCAGACACATTTCTCAACAAGCAATGTAATTTCTTAATTTCACTTCTGTCATTCATTTACATGTAACTATCAATCCTTAGATGAATGAAATCAAATTAACTAAAATTCATGAAATTCCTTCATGAAAATTAATATTGGTCAAAATTTCGTGTAGCGAATGCTTTTATTTCCATGAAGATATGATGCATTTTCAGATATTTACAACGTTTCAACAAACAAATTAGACCAAAAATTCACAAAAATTATTCACGATCTTAATAAAATCTTGAAAACAAAATATGTTCCCAAGAAACTTGGTACTAAGCTAAATTTATCTGTAACCTAGTTTTTTTAAAAATTTTGCAACCAATGAGAAAACACGGATGTTTTTTCACCACCAAAAACACTTTGTCCATCATATTATGACGGTGTCTTCTTTACATATTACATCTACATTAATTCAGCTTTAACATAGCCTAAGAAAATATATTTTTTTTAATCAATGTAGCTGCATTGAATATTCTATTATTCTTATTAATGGCTGCAGATTTAGTCGAAAATGCACTTCAGTGTAGTAAATAGTTAACAGAGACTGGATACTGGCTTATCATGACAAGTCCTGGTTGCCTTCAAGTGAGATTGGCTGTAGTGCACGTCTTTTTCCGAGTTCTTCATTTCCCCCTGCCAATCATCTATTCACTATGTTTGACACTTGTCTATCTTCACGTGACAGCTATGGTCACGCAGCACATTATCATACCCTTGGTTCAAAGTTAGGAGCTTAATCTCAGATCCAACACTTAGATAATCTTTCAGTAAAGATAGCTTTGTATAGAGAAAAGTATCTAAACTTGTATGTCCGTCTGTACAATTATGCTGACTCAATAAAAAAAATTCTTTAAAATTATTTCAACCACAGCAAAAATACTAAATGTATAATGTTTATTTCTGAGGCGGGATAGCTCAGTCAGTATAGTGACTAGCTACGAGCTGGACGACCGGGGTTCGATCCCCGACGGGGGCAGAGGATTTTTCCTCTAGCCTCTGCGTCCAGACCGGCTCTGGGGCCCACCCAGCCTCCTCTACAATGGGCACCGGGGTCCTTTCCCGGGGGTAAAGCCGGCCGGGGCGTGATGCTGACCACTCACCCCCATCTAGTGCCGAGGTCAAGGAAGAGAGGAGCTATACCTCCTCTCCCTCCAAGCGCCTACATGGCGTGTAGCGGGATAAATACTTTCTTCGCCAGAAATATCACCCAGTTGCACCTTCCTGGACCCTCAGAAATACTTATCACACTCGGCGTACTTCTCAAGTATGACAATTTAAGTTATGAGAAATGCAACAATATCTATGTTAAAAATCCCAAAGGAAAGAGACAACTCAGAAAAATTAAACATAGAGGGAGGATAATATGAAAAAAAAAATCTTAAAGAAACAGGGTATGAGGGTGTGAAGTGGATTCAAGTGTCGTAGCATAGGGACCACAGCTCCTATGGACCTTCAAGTTCCATAATAGGTGGGGATTTCTTGACTAGCTGGGTAACTATTAGCTTCTGAATAAGGATTTTGCTGCATGTAGTTAATTAGTTGACAAGTTTATCCTACATCATCGTTACTGTTTTTGTTGTGTTGCAGTGGCAGAACAGACATGGTAACAAGGCAGGCAAGAAAAAAGCTGGTTATGGCATGGAGACACGCTTATCTCTTGCTGATATGGAAGTTGCACAGCCTCTCTCTCCAGATGCTAAGGTTCACTTCACCTCAGCATGTCATAATATTAAAAACAGACTGTAGCATTTCAACTAGCTGCATTGTTTTGTGATGTCAACCATTAGCCAACACTATTTTATGTGATAGGAATGAGATGTGTTATGTGTAAAATATCCTTCTTCCTGTGTAATGTTTAAGTCCATACAGTGAGAAACATAACATGATCATTGCATTAAACATTGAGGGTTTTGATACCAAAATAACCTTGAATTACCAACGTTTTGGAGGTAAATAATGCCTCCATATTAATATGAAACTGCATTTTCATGGCACTAAAGATGTGGATGCTGGTGTTCTGGGTTATGATGCCATATCACTTCATATGTAGTTACCAATTTTCAGAGAAACTTATTGTCCTGAACTTTAACTTTGGTAAAAGTCTGGTTTGCCATCTTTTTGCATTACGATTACAGGCAACTCTCGGTTTACGAACGAGCTCCGTTCCAAGACGTTGTTCGTTACATTAGTTCGTGTCTTTGCCAGTAGAGGGGGGCTAAGCACGTCACCTAGCTTTGAGTTTTCGATGTTTCTATCCAGGTTATAGGATAACCAAGAAGGTAAAAGGTCAGAAAATGTTCGCGGGCCCATTAGTTTATACCTTCCCAACAGATGGTGCAGCAGTTCACTTATCTTTACATTAGTTCATGCCCTCGCCAATATAGGCAACTCTCGGTGTACGAACACTCAATTTACGAACATTTGCCATAACGAACGTCACAATTCATTCAAAATTTCTTTAATTCGCCAATAGATATAATTTCTTATAAAACGAAATGCCAAACGTATAGTGAGCATAATTGTAAGATTTAAATAAATAACCTTTTAAAAAAAGTATTTATTACAACAATTATTCGTAAACTGAGAGTTTCCTGTATATGTAGGCCGCTTGGTGCTTACCAGTATTTCACATATACTTATTATCACATGGCTTCATATCTCATATGATCGCAACAAGAGCCAGAAATAAACATTTTCATGTTAATGTTCAACAATTACCTTTAAAATTTCCTTTGTTATGTGTATTATTTGTAGCTTATCCTTCTTCCTGTGTAATGTTTACTTCCATAGGAGAATAAAACATACAATGATCATTAAATAATGGAAGAGGAATTGAGACTAATCCAAAATACTTTCTCATTTATGACAATATATTAAAATCATATCGTAAGTAACGGCAACTGTAAGTTATGTAGTAATATTTCTTCTCAGAGCATGTACTAACACATGATTGAATTACTTCTTAGTTATCTCAAATCTAAACGTTTGTAATGGTGCATTTTTAAAATAAAAAGTTTTCCATCATCTTTACTTTTTAGTTATGTTTCCCCAAACTGTAGTGTGAGTGAAGAATTCATAATGAGCTCTGTGTTTCATACGGGAGTAGGCAACCTGCACAATTAAACCAGAAGCCCCATTGTTGGAACAAATTACTTAACAATGGGAAAGGAGGTAATTGTTCTGATAGATAGTTGTGCAAAAGTTACCTTAGATTGCATCAGTGCAAGAATTACCTAAGGACCACACCAGTGAAACAATGGCTTACATGATGTGGCATAAAGAACTCCTTTTATAATGTTAGCATCCTCCGCAGAGTACACCATTCAAATCTTGTTTACCCATGAATTTGTTTAATGTTCCTTGGGAGATTCGTAAATCTTGAGTGGTGCTGCAATTTTAGTTGCTATTCCATTTCTACTGCATATTTTGAACCCAACACTACCCTTCATCCTGTTATTTCTGATACTTAAGAACTGCGGTCCTACCACGACATGGTTCACTTCCAGAATGGGCCTCTATAAAATTCTTTCCAAGGAATTCTAAATCTTCCATGATGCACGATATGAACAATAGTTAACCAGATGCAATCTATATTGATTACGTCTCATCTTCATTACAGGCATTTGATGCTGTGTTCTTTATGGCCGCTAACAAAGATGGTTACTACTTTGCAGCAGGGACAGAGCGGAGACAGCATGGCGTGATTAATGGACTCTGCTATGTGGCTGTATGTCTTATAACATAGCACAAATTAACATGACGTTAAAACACTTTCTAATATTCTTTTGGAATCCTAGAACATGCCATACTGGCTTTCAATACTTGTTTTTAAATTTGTCAACCAAAGATAGATTTTGAAGAAGTTAAAAACTTGTATTCTTATCTTTCAAGAAGAATTAACTCCATAGTTACATAAGAAGGTAAAATATAAATTATGACATAAGGTCTGAGAGAGAATATCATTAACTACTAATTGTTTGTAATGCATAATAAATGTTATGCAATGTATCCCCAAATAGGTACCTGGCAAAGGTCTACTGTGCAGCCACAAGTTACCTGACACCGTCCTGTTTGGTGCAAAGAATGAAGAGTTTGGTGCAGAAGGACTCTTGCTGAAACTTGTGAGACCCATGAAGAAGTGGAAACTTAATTACAAAGGAAAGATGTGGTTAGTCATTTTCTTATATGACTGTGTCAAAGAAAGTCTGAAAGTAAGACAAAACCAAAGCAAAGTCTAATTACTGTGAAACATGGCTAGATGTTTGCTAGCATCTGATGGATATATACTAAGATCATTACATTTCTCAAGTTAATCTTATTTCCTATATAAGTAACACATATTTGAGATCACTGCAAAGTTCAAAATCCATCATACAATTTAAACATAATGTTGAGGAGACTAAATTCCGGAAATGTTTGCTACTTCTCAGTTCAAAATATTTTGTCTTCCCGTCTAATATATAAGAACCCAAAGATTAAAATATACAAAACAGTAATTTTGCCTGTTGTTTTGTATGGGTGCAAAACATGGTCTCTCACTCAGAGGGAGGAACACAGATTGCAGGTGTTTGTGTTGAGGCGGATATTTGGGCCTAGGAGAGAAGACGATGGGACATGGAGAAAACTGCATAATGACGAGGTTAAAAATTTATATAATCTTCCCCGAATATTGTCAGGGTGGTTAAGTCAAGAAGAATGAAATGGGTGGGGCATGTAGCACACATGGATAGGACAAGAGTTGTGAACCGGGTATTGGTTGGGAAGCCTGAGGGGAAGAGACCACTGGGGAGACCTAGACGTAGATGGGAGGATAATGTCAGGCATTTGGATTTTACCTCAACATTAAGTATCCAGCAGTGGCCATGCAATGGAAGACATGTGAGCCATTGTGCTACCACCAATCTCACAAGAATGACAATTTACAGAGCGGTAACCACAAGTTGGCGTGTACCATACTGAAAGACTGGTTTGCTGTATCCATTAGAAAGCTATCAGAAAGATGGCAACATAGCATTAACCTTAATGGGGAGTGTTTATGTGTGCTGAAATGTAATTATGCAGCTGTTATCATCTCTCAGCTTTTATTCCAGGCAAGTATCAATCATTGCTGAAAAACCCTAAGACTTCTCAAGATACAGAGTAATGTAAAAGTTTGCTAGTAAGTGTCAGGTATAAACGTTACTGTAAAGTAATAAAGAAGTTTTTACTGACAATACATTCTTGTACTTCTGCAGACTGTAACCAGAATCCTGAACAAGCTGAGCTGATTACAGTGACAGTATTATCTAGACTTCTGTTCAGGAGGTATCATAATTGAACCTTTAACATACTGTGATCTCTCCTAAGATTATACATTGATTTAATCCAGCCTCTATAAACTGGAAACTAATGGCAGAATGGTACCTTAATAGACCATGATTATGTGCTTTCATTCAAGATCAGATTTCCACTTCATCTGATGCTATGTAAATTCTTCAGTTGAAACTGCATTATTAAATTATCTAAGAATCAATGAAGTCGGTCATTTTTCTTGTGGTTTATTTAACACTGTCATTAGTAGCTCACACTAAACAATACTGGCCAACAGAATGATTAATGTATAATGAATTGGAAAAGATTTGGAATGTATCAGTCTTGGTCTAATTTAATGTAGTATCCTGGCACTTTCCTGGAGGGGCTCATTACCATGGAAAACTTCAGTCAGGATAGTTAATCTCTGAACTCACAACCTCCCGATATTCAACTTTTTTGTACATGACCCACCTAGCTATGCACTATGTTTCATGCACTATATTTAAAGAATCAAATAGTAGAACACATAGCTTTCCTTGTCAAAGAACCTTCTGTATTAGCGCTCATATTGATATTGGAATTTGTTTTATTTATAACTCCTGAGTACGTGTGTATGTCTTAAATTTCTGCAGGTTGCAGTCTGATCCCTCTCAAATGTTTGATGTGAATTTTGAAGGAGCCTGGAGCTCAGACCTACCACCTTTCAACTATGACACTGATATGTATCCGCCTTCTGCTGCTAGGGCTTTCGCCAGAGAAACATGGACAAGAGAATATTTCAAAGCCCTTAAAAAGTGAGTCTAATGAATTTTTAAAGAAACTGTTTTAGGTTACTACTTGTTTCCAAGCAACTGAGTCAGCAGAATTTCTGGGATAATGTTAAAAACATTTATATGTGTATGTCTGTCTGTAAGTTTTCAACTGGTAGGATTCACTTGATCCAATCTGATGTCACGAAATTTGTTTTTCATTTTATTTCACCTCTCATGAAGCATCCTGGCTGAATTGAAAAATATATACAAACATTTTAATGTGTGTAAGTGTGCCAAGGAGATTATTTGAGCCTAGGAAAAAGTAAGTAATAAGGAGCTGAAGAAAATGGTTTAATGAGGCACTTCATGTATTCTTCATTAAAGAATATTTGGGTGGTCATATCAAGTAGAATAGCATGGTGAAATATATGGCATGAATGGAGATGAGAAATACATACTAAAGCTTAGTTGGGAGACTAAATTGTAGAACTGAGGGCAATATTCAAATGAATCTTAAAAGTAGGGTATATGGATGTGCACTGGACTTCATTGATTATGGTTCTCATGGTATTTGTATGGCTGTCTTCTGGAATGTTATACTGTGTAGTTCAGCAGAGTGATAAATCAACACCCTAAAGAGGAAGCAATAAACTCCTCTGAAATGTCAGCTAGTGCCTACCAGATCACACCCATCTTAGTACAAATGGCTCAAGACAGGGCCCGAGGGCAGGCTCTTGCGAAAATTATAATGAAGTTTTGAGTTTACAGAAGAGAAAAGGTATATGTTAACCATCTGAGCAAGTATCAACTTCTCAAGAATGACTCTCTCCCATGGAGTTAATGTAAAATAAAAAATTCACTTGAATGAAACATAACTTTGTTTCCAGAGCTCATCAATCTCACTACGAACAAATGGGACATTTGAATGCAACAATTGAAATCAATGGTGAAAAACACACTGTCAAAATGCCATCATTTCGTGACCATAGTTACGGTAAGATCAGTTGTAGTTTTGAAACATACGTATTGGATTGAAGGTTATTTCTTGCTGCCTAAAATTAATAATTTGTTTACATATTTATTTACTCGTTATCATCTATACCAGTTTCACTGTTATAGACGTCCCTACTTACAAATGCAAAAAACCAAATTGACATTATCATCTATACCAGTTTCACTTACAAATGCAAAAAACCAAATTGACAGCATGCCAATCAGAATCAAACCTATGGCCTCCCAAATGCGTGCTGACCACTAAACCAAAATGTATGGTTCTGTGCTTTTTAATCCTTCATGACAACCTGTATATAAAGATTTACATTGTAATCAAGGAGTACTGAGTGCAGTATTTAGCATTGGCCTTTTCACTTCAATAATATATGCACGTAAGATATATCACACATGCATACAGGGGAAAGAAGAGACTGGAATCTGATGCACCGATATGCATTCCACATGATCTTCCTAGATGATGGGACAAAGGCAACAACTGGGGTGATCTGTCAGCCCTGTACTTCCTCCAGGTAAGTTGCTCTGTATATCTACATCTATATCTACAAAACAGTAATTTAGACTTTACATAATTATACCACCTTTATAAAGTTGGCTAAAATCAAACAAGAGATTTTCATATTTTCTTATCTTGACACTTTGTCATATGCAGCAGTATGAAATGTTTCTAATTCTGTATATTATTACTTAAGATTCTTTATACCTAACACTATTAAATGTGATGTTAAATGGACCCCATTTCATGTGATGTGGTATGTCTTCTAGATGGTGATAGATGAGATGGTATCTAGTTATGGAGAGTAACTATAAACATGTTTAATAGGAGTCACACATAGCCAAAAGAAATTTGAAGCTTTGATGTGGACATAAATACATTTCACATCAGATGCACTTGTCTTCAATTAATTTATAAAGTTAATGAGCAAAAACTATAAAATCTCTGCACACAGGCTGGAGGTAGGTTATGTATACACTCCAAGTGGTGAAGTTTATGCACTGGAATGGTGTGATTTTGAGCTCTATGAACATGGAGAAGATGGGAGACCTCCAACTGACTACAGCTTCAGCTTCAAAGCAGGTATGGGTAATGATATTAACAACCCAGAACAGCTATATCAATAATTATCCATTCCTTGAATGCATAAAATCAATGCATGATATTGAGGTAATGTCTGTCCATGTTTTATCTCTGATGTCTCTAAAATAATTTTGATGAAATATGGTACTGGGTGTCTACACCAAAATTTGTCAGGTAAATTTACTTTTAGTTCATATCAATCTGATATAACTCATGTTTTTCATTCAGCTGCAGTTCAACTTTAATGATCTTTTTGTAAAAAAATATCATAATTAAAATGTTAGTACATAATATAAAATAGCTTATCAATGTCATTTGGATCTACAATTTTTATTTGAAACACTTCTTATTACAGTTAAAAATTATTTAACAGAATACTAAGAGAGACAATTTGTCTCTATATAAAATACACTGTGTAGAGTGATTTTGGTGTGCAGCAACTGATTTGTACGTGTAATAAATGAACATGCTAATGACATACACAAAATTGCAAGAAATGCATTTGAAAAGTAAAATATGTACATCTCCTTGGACTACTCATTTCCAATGCTGTTACAGTTACTATAAAGGCCCTCTATTTGAAACTACATTGTTCTCTAAACAATCAGTTTCTGATAAACAAATAAAATGGAAGAGTGGAAAGAAAAAATGTTTAAAACATGCATTAATTTATTGTAGTGGTGATTACTGTGGAAAGTATGTAAACTGGATTGGAATTCACTCCAGTATCTTTACATCATCTGTGAAATTCAGTGTATTCCAGTACAGATTACAACTTTCCAATATTATTTTATACTAACCAAGGAGGCAGGCCAAGTAGGCCTATCAAGTATCTGCTTCTGTCCCACAATACAACAGCATATCCATCTCTCGCACAATCAGTTTTTGTGGTCTGGTAGGGGTTAATTACAGGAAGTTAATTAAGAATGAACTACAGATATAATGGAGAAACCAGGTTAGTGTCACAATACAAGATCCCAATCAACTGATTTAACCCTTTGCCCATTGCATTTAAAACACTAATGCATGTTGCTGTCAACCCATTTGGGGGGGGGGGGGGGGGGTTATTTAATTTTAAATGAGAATTTACTATGTTAGAAGGGACATGATCCTTTTAATTTATTTTACTGTATGAGGAGAAGCAAAGGGTTAGTAATAAAGTTATTGTTAAAATTTAAATTAAATTTGTTTTGTTAAACTACATGGACAAATTCTGACATACAGAGTATAAACACAAGGCATACAGATGAAGGGACAAAATTATTCAATACTTTTCCATCTAGCATCAAAAGTTTAAGTCAAGATATAAAACCATTTAAGACAGCACTGAAAGATTATCTTTAATCTCACTCCTGCCTCAAACTGAAAATTATTAAATATTGTACATATTTATGCAAATAGCTGAAACAACTATGTAGGTATATTTGTATTGGTACTCTATTTGTATCACATATTGATATTCACGTTCCATATCCCTGGCTTGTACTGTGAAAGATCTATGGAACATAACACATTATACAATCTTTTAATCTAAACAATTAAGCTTAACTCTCTGCCATGATTATCACAATTACTTTAATGCAAGTGAACATTCCGTGACAGGTTTAATGCACTGTAACAAAAATATAAAGAATATTTTAATTAAGTGACAGAACAACAGAAAGAACAGTTTGAAAAAATTATTATTTTCAATTTAAAGGTAATTAAAACCCATCTTTATACAAGAATCTTCTGTTTGTAGGTCCAACAATATACACAGTACAGGTGAATGTGGAGTATGCAGCAGTTCATTACGTTGGGTGGAAATGGGAAGCACGCATGGTAGAACGCTTTGTTCAGTACACAGTCAATGGCATCCCAGGCCGTGGAGTGTCTGAATTTCATTATTACAATAAGGGTGGCAGGCCTTCATCTGTGGCTGTCAATGATCCATATTGGTTCAAAAAGCTTACCTTATAATAAGACATTCAATTTGAAGAATTCTGTTGGTATAAATGGTTGTTGCCTTTAAAAGAACAGTTAACTATAATAGTTTTGATTTTTGATATTTCCATCATTATTTTGTTTTGGATGTTATAAGGAAGGTAAATATGTGACATTAAGAGGTTTTGACAATGGTGAAAATGTGTTTCGTGTAGTCTTCTTGGTTGCAATGATGTGTAATCTTATAGGTGGTTGCCAATGTCTTGGAGGAACTTCTTAGACCTATTTTCATCTACTCTGCAGATGAAGATGAAAACACTCCTCCAAAGCATTTGTAACCATTTGTAAGACTACTTAGTATCACATGCCGGAGGACCACTTTCAAAGTAAAAATGTGATCCCTGAAGTCCCCATTGGGTAATATTTGATGTTACAACATTAAAACAACAAGGTATAACCAAGTAGCTAATGACACAACCAATGTATAAATGTGTCTCCTGAGATAGAAGATGTATAATTTAAAATAACAGCTTACTATCATGTTAATATTATACAACTTAATAGAAAAACTAATTAGGCCATAACATGGGTCAGTTTTAAAAAGGGATTTATGCAAGTGCTTCTGGACTTAACTACATAACCTTTATTAAGTTTACAACTATTTTCAATAAAGATACAATTTTAAACATAGAGACATAAACAATTAAACTGAAGTGTTCAGTTCACTTTTTTTGCATTTTCAGTTATATGAAGAACAAATATTATCTAAAAATCAAAGCTTCTTTCAATGAATTGCTTACAGGGATATCATAACAACAACTGAAATTCATGTAATAATATAATTATAATTTATAATAACATACATTTGTACAAGTGATTATCATGAATACTTAATATTAACACACCTATTAAGAATTAGTCTTTAAATTAAGGAAAACATTTCAGTTTTTTTAAATGAACTATTCATTCAAGTTAATGTTTATTTTGCTTTTCTTTCAGCAAGTATTCAAAGTATTTGGTTATTAATGATACCAGTAATGAGTAAGTGATCAACTTTTCAAGCTAAATTGGAAGGAAATTTATTTTATTATTATTATTTAATGTTGCCTCACAGCAAATACTTTGGCAATTATGACATACACCACTATCAATGGTGCACCACAAACTTACAACAATTCTTCACCTTATTTATCAAAATCAGACATTGTAAGAATGGACAAGACTTCTAAGTCCTTAACTAAACATGCAGTTCAACAAACCAGGCTTTAATCTACAGGAACATGGTAACAGTATACATTACAATGCAGTATAGTTCACAAAGATATATCAATGGCTTATAATGCATTGTGGCTGTAAGTTAAAATCACATTATTTTTAACATTATTGACAAAAATGGAATATATAGGTGTTAGTTATCTTTGAAGAAGAAGCAACTTAGAAGACAACCTTGTTAAACCATACACATACTGTCTGATTCTGACTTCTCAAAGTAGCTATACTATACCAATCAAATTATTTCAAAATAAATGCCCTAAATATCAGAGATCATGCAACCATCAGAAATATGCCAGTAGACTGTTTATATCAATCATACAAATCAAGGTGCTGTCTCTTATATATGTAGTTTTAGAATGGAAGAACATTAACCTTTATCTTATGGGAATTGGAAATATGAACCTCTACAGACATGCCATAGCTCTGGAGGATAAATACAGTGGAACCTTGATACACCGTGCCTCCTTATACCACGGACTCGGATATACAGTGGCTGTAATCATGCCCCTAAATAAGACTACATATGTTTTACATATTTCACATATAACACAGGTAACTTATAATGCAGGTCCTGAAGCTGTCCCCCGAAACCCGTGTTATATCAAGGTTCCACTGTATTTAGTTGTTTGCTAGTGCAATGCAGCCAGCGTAACTTTGCATTAGTTGCAATGAACGGTCAATAAAAGTTAATTTAACAATATGTACAAGTAATTTTCTTTTAGTATTGTTAGGTACATACATGTAAAGTTACTATCCAAGGCTTTCAATGCTGATTATGAACATTATGCTCAAGTAACAGTATGTAGAGTTGATCATAAAATACATGCATATTACATCAAACAACATTTGAAGTAGCAGAGGGAAAATTTTCCAATCTAAGATTGCTTCACATGAATGACAGGGAAATCCAGTATTCTTTATATTAAATAATACTCACACATAGAAATAACTAGGTATTGTAGCACTGTAGTCACATTGAATAACATGAAGTCAATTTATAAAAATTAAAGCATTAACACTGTAATTTTAATTGGTTATATAAATACTTTATTACTTTTATAGCAACTATCAGTTCAACCTGTGGACAAAATTTTAAATTAGTAACCTACAGAGTAAATTTTATTAGCACTAATGAAAATTTATGACATACAGTTGGCAGAATAGGATAACTTTAAAGAAACCTAACCTGTCACAGCTTTGTCCAAGTCAAGATTTAACATTTTCTTTACTCAACAAATTACATCATACAATTTAAAAATAAAGCTCACGCACAGAAAAGGGACAATTCTGTCGTTATCAGATTTGAGACTGACAAAGTAGTGAGACTTTAGACTGTAGCTTTTTCCACCATTTCAGAGGAACATGCTGCCTCCATCTTCAGGTTTTAAGTGACAAGGGTTACGATGTTGGTGGATTATGCAGTATTGTTTGGTCGAGTGTTCTGTTAAAATAAGTGCAAAAACTGATATAAGTTTATGGGAAGGGGGGGGGCCAAATAAACAATCAGTAACACTGTAGTGTAAATACACATGAATCTTGAACTCGTGGATTTTTAATTAGAACTTAATACCTGTTAATGAGAAACCTACTTGATCCCTTCACATTTGTCTACAAGGTTTTATTTTACCTTGAATAAAGTTACAATTGATTTTGTCCTCATCCACATTAATTCAGTTCACCACTTCTCATTTGATACTGGGTTGTGAAAGAGTGGACTTGCAGGTAGATACCATTTTGAAGAAATATCTTAAAGATCATATCATAAAGATGACAAATAACAAGCTAATGCATGCATGCAGTTTCAGCAAAACTGTAAATTGTTTTTTATATACTTCCACAGCCTATGAGGGTAACAATATGAACAGTGACTAATAATGCACACAACTGACTACTATTTAGCACACTGAAGCACTATTCAAAACCCGAAGAGACTGAGGGAAACGGAAGATGAGAAAAGGCACAGAGACAAAAAACTGCCAACAAAAGGCATGCCTCTACCATTGCAAATTAAGTTACATGCTTAAGAGATTTATTTACTTTCTGCTAAAGAAAACATACAAATTGAAGAACGTTTTTCTCCATAATCAAAGTTCTATACTAAGTTTTACATCCTGTTACTTTTTTCAGAATGAATTTTACATTTCACTTCTTTCTAATTTGCTTAATGATGCTTTCACTCATAGCAGCGAGTATGACGATGGCATCTTCTAGGTTACTGTGTTGTGTAGTCTGGCAGAACTTTGACATTTCAGAGGTCCTTACTGCCTCCATCATCATGGTAAACTGCACATAAGGATTCCTCTGAAACATCTACCATACTACATGGTACAACACACTAGACAGCCAGCTTCATTCAACCAGGAAATTGCAATGTGTATCCTCTAATCTAAAGCATCACGTTCAGTTGTGCATGGATGCTGAGTGCGAACTTTCAGCACCTTGTACGACAAGTTGCAACTTCACAAGGACTCAAGGAATGTATCTACATTTCATCATCACTGGTGCATATATAGTGGTTTTATTAATATAAATCTGGGGCTTCTAAGAGGAGTCAATATTACTATTTCCAGTTATGACAAGATAATTCATGACACCTAAATCTTTTCACTCCATAACTCTGAGCTTATAATTAACATATATTGCACAGGAAAGCCAGTTTTTGTCATTGAAGCATCTGAAGAATGTACAATGTAATTTTAGTAAATTTATTACAACAGTAGTTATCATTTATAAAGCCTCAACAGAACACAAGATATTTGAAAATGAGTGGGGAACATAATCATACACATGTGATACAATGGGAAACTTCTGTATATGAAATATTTAAATGATAAATTTGTCAGATAATAACCTGTTAACACATACACAGAAACAGCATATTGTTGTCTTAAAAAGATCATGATTAACTAAAATGACATAAAAGAAGCCACAATATAAAACAGACTGAAACATAACTATGAATGACAAAAGCAGGTCCTTAAACAACTAAACAAACTGAATTGTAAAATTAAAAATACTCACATCTATGTTCCCATTTAAGCTCAACTTCCTAGCATAGAATCCAACTTCAGCATGACAAAATCTGCCTATAAACAGCAATTTTCCAACTCTACATATGGTTTGTATACCTCTTAAAGAGTCCTGAAGCATTACAAACCACCAACATCAATAAACATAACAAAAAATTTAAACAGAAAATTTTTACAAAACGTTCACTTACAAAAAACTTACATACATACAAAAAACCTAAAGAAACTGGAGTCAGCAATACCTATTGCCTTTTCAAATGTCTAGTTGACTTGCATGGAATCCTGGCGATGCATTACAATCAGCCCAAATCAACACAATGAAAACAAAACTGTTGCCTAGTCAGCAATATCTACCGCTGGTTTTGAACATCTATCTGACTGATAAACATGGGCCTGTAATATCCTAGTGGATCAAAACTTTTCAATAACACATCAAAGTGACTTTTTCATAAGACAGTTTATTTTCTCTGTTACACAGCATACAACATACAAAAACTGTTATTAAAATCATAAGTTTAAAGTGTTTCATTACTAAGACCTACAGCACATCAACACATTTCATACAACATGCTGTGAAGCAAATATCTCCAACTTGCAATGCATTCAACTTACCAGAAAGCAACACATGCAGTACTTGTTGCAAGCTGTAAGCATTGAACAGATATAGAAGTCACATGGATTTTCTATATTCGTTTTTGACAATGACATACACAGCAGTAAGAATCTAGTCAT